GAGCCCCATTGCGACATGCCGTCTGGCGCATTGCGGGCACTATTAAACTTCGCAAATTTGTCTTCGCCAGACCCGGTGTGACTTTTCGAATTTCCAGGCGAATCCGAAATGGCCCATCTGCACGTGCTGGCCAGGAACTCCCGGAAAGCGTTATAATCCATCAGGTTAGTGCTAGGTCCCAATCCAACACGACCTTTCTCAACCTGATTTGGTGTAGAAGCAAAAATCTCAGACGCTCGCATCCTACTGGTCTTGGCTCGTCGCTTTGCTTCCTCTTGAATCATGTGGTCGCGTTGTTGTCTCTCATACAAGACACTATAGAATCGGTCATATAATGCGCCTAGCTCGTCAGCGCCGAGCAGCTTGCTATCGGGACCGAGATTTCTGATGGCGGTTCTCTTGGCAAAGTTCTCGATATTGCTCAAAACTGCATCCTTCTTGATGAGTCGTAATTCGGTAATACTGCTATGAGTAATGCCAGAAAATTCTTTGAAAGCAACCACCATGAGCTCCTGAAACCTAGTGACAGCTCGCAGCTTGGGGTTTTCAGATTTCGGGTGGGCAGACTCGTCCAGCCTGGCAAAGTACGACTTGAGAACGGATATGAAGGCGCCATCGTCGGCGGCATCCAGTAGTTCTTCGCCGTTTATGCGCAGAATAGCCAGCCCGACTTGAAATAGCACCTTGGGGCCCTCAACGAAAAAGACATCTAACACGCGAAAAGCGAATATAAGAGGCATTGAGTTCACATAGAGCGATAAAAACCAAGGCAATGAGACCACCGATAGCTGGACGTCGCTCTTGACCAGATGCTCCCACAGAATAGGCATAGTCCTCTCCACCAATGACTCAAAAACCTTTTGATCTAGTAATGTGCCATACATGGTTGTCGAGTAGTAACCTGGAACAAGTCGATCGCAAAGGGACGAAAGTAGAAAGAAAGCTTGGGCCTCCGACATGTAGATGAGCAGAGCTGCCACGACAATATTCATGGCTTGGCAGTATCCAACATCAGGATTCACCCAGCTATATGCGGTCAAAACTCGACGAAGTCTACCAATGCCATCCTCACTCTGGAAGCCAGGGTACTCAGGCAAGCTTCGATTCAGATCCTTTTCAATCTCGTCAATAGCAAGTGACTCTTGTCCTTCAAATTTTGCCAAAGTGTCGGCATAAAGGGTTGGATTCTCTAGGCGCAGGTAAAGCGAACCGGACGTGAGTTCCCAAATCTCTCCTCGCAACCTATTCGGCAAGCCGACTCGGATAAGCTTATGAAACGTCGGTTGACGAATGAGGGTGGAATTCCTGCCATTATCCCTCAAATATTCGGCCCATAGCCTCATCTTTGCTCTGTCTCGTAACTTCTTCGGGTCACCAGGGTATCTGAAAATCATGCCGAGCCCAGCATCCGGTGGGTTGGCGTTCTTTTTGTCCTCAGACCTGAGAAGGTGCTCGGAGTAGCATTCTGCGACAACCCTACGTAGCTTGCCGACATTGCCCACGCCAGCTCTCAACCCTCTCTTCAGCCCGTCACAGAACCTTTCACAGGCGGGGCGGGAGCCAGCCAAGTGAATTGTAATTCGTTGTTCTCTAGTATCTCTTGTGTCTTGATTTGCTTCTTTATCTGTGCGGCTGTCGGCTAGCAATCCATTCCAAGTCGTTAAAGCAAGAGCAAACTGGCAACGAGATATAAAATTAGCAGCCACCACGACAAAGGGCCGGGTCATTCCCCTCTCGGCCGGGCAAATTCCTGTGTATGCAAGCTCACCTGAAAATTTTGGCTGTTCAATCTCTCGACCCTTCTGATTGCGCACAACGGAAACGTGAAACCATTCCCGCTCGGCCCCGCGCCATGAGTTTGGCCTGTGAAGGCCAGCGACGTCGACGTACTGGCACTCTGGGCAAAGCTTGACGGCGTGGTGGAGAAGCACATGTAGGCTTCAGATAAATGTAGTTTTCCAGCATAATGCCACCCTCGGTCGTGGTTCTTGCCGCCTTGAGTAGCATTGGACGGAGGGATAGTGAGCTCGGCGTTGATCTCGTACAAGGGGTTCTGAGAGGCGGGCAAGCGGAATTGATTCTGGAACAACGAAGCCTTGGAAGGATTTTTATCGGAGCTTGTGAGGTTGAGGCCTTGAGTTGGGTCGATAAGCTGCTGGGCCTTCTGCACGATGTTCGTAAAGTTGGAGAACATGGTCGCGATTAGCCGCGCCGCATGGCGGTTTCTGAGATAGCGGGCAATTCGGCGACGGACACAACTGAGTGACGGGAGGGGCGAATTGCGCGCTTTTGGAGTGTTTTTCTAGTCTGGACGATATAGATTGATGATGCAAGCCGCCAATAGGAGCCGAATGCAATGGGAGGAAGGGCTGCAAAACCGGCGGATGATGGTGTTGCTCGCCAAAATCCGGATTGTAGTACGGAGGAATGCACACGAGGTGTGATGGCATGGGGTGGTGGGATGGGTGACTACAGCGATGGCGGATGCGGTCTGGAGTACGGAGTATGGAGTGTGCGGGTATTGATGGTCTGGCTGACAGACTGGTGACAGCTTCGGCACTGCCCGAGGTTGATTGGCCTATTGAAGGTGTTCATGCCCCAGCTGGCCCAAATATCGTCGGCCCTGGCACTGGTGTTGGCGCTGGCGCCAGCGCTGGTACGGGCACAGGCAATCACTGAGACGCAATGAGGGCTCTACTGTACGGGGCTCACGGCAAGGCATAGTAAGTAAATACATAACAGGTACCTACCGAACTAGTACTCCGTACTCCATACAATACGGCGAGATGGAGCAATGGCTGTCGAGCTATCCGAAAGAGCTTCTGGGCAGCCGGCAGCTTGGCAGCTTAGGAGGGTCCCAGCCGTCTGACCTGGTTGGTTGGGACTTGCATGTTGCTGCGGAACTGACTGCAGGACTGACTTCAGGATTTACTGGCCCCGCCCAACGCCGTTGTCGTGTCTGTAAATGTCAACAGTGATATCGCCCCCACCTGCAGTGTACACTACAGGTCTAGCCGAATATTTAATAAAGACAAAGTAAAGCCATCATTCTGCTTACGCCTCTATTCTATTCATTCGCAATATCTAGTGATTTATCCATCATCGAAACGAGCCTGCTCTTTACCCAAGGACATACAATAAATACAACTGGTGTGACATCATTATTGACGCCTGCATGTCTTAGCGCATTGTCTATATACACATCTACAATCGAAGCTCTGCTATATCCTGCCACTTAGTACTTATCTTCTCACTGCTACCTATACCTGGAATTCATGTCGATCTGTAGCCATTAGACAGATGTAGTATAGCGACAGCATCTGTTAAACGTACGTTCATAACTGCATAGAATCTGCCACCCAAATGGCAGCCAGTATTACCGACTTACAGTCCGCACTACAGCCTAGTTCAGGTTCAGCGTCCAGTTACGAATGGTCGAAGAATTCTTCCGGGCAGCCACTCTTGGCCCAAGCAAGTACATTATAGTGTGAAAATACTCACACTATGTACAGGGTTAGCAATTCAGTCGACACGGAGCTGTATCTCGATGCAACAGAGGTCAGCCCTACCAGACTGATCTTACTCTAATCCCTCCTAGGCTGCCAACATACCAGTCTGCTTGTCCCTTTCCAATGCACGCCAGAGTGCTTGTGCTGGAGATATATCCAAAGCGCTTTGTTTTGCCCTTCTCCACCAATAGACACTGGGCCACTGTATAGGTGGCGCGAGAAAGGCCTGCCAATCTTCAATCTGGGGCAATCGCCAATCAGGACGCCATTTGGGTTCAGGAGACTGATTTATCTTAGCGTCTTGCTAAGCAACGATACAAATATTACCTTAGGCGGCCATGCAAAAGAGTCCTTTGCGGAAAAAGCATCGAGCCCAGACTGATCCCAGCATCTAGGGATGCTCTAGTTCGCTTGAAGGACTCTTCCCAAAGAACCAAAGCCAACAGTCCTTGGTCCTCGTGGAGTTGGAAGCTCTTCCAATGTGTAATGCTGAGGATTTGATTGGTCTCCTGCCGAGCCGTGGATTTTACAACAGAGAGAATACTGAGCGTCCGCTAAAACGACTTCTTGTGACACTAAGCTCTTATCTAGACCTGAAATTCGCCCCGCGAAATAGATCGGGCGATAACCAGAATAGCAACGATTCAACACTTTCTATGATTGAATTTCTATGTATTCAAAACATTTTGGTTGAAGACAAACTCGATCCTCAATTTGAAGTAATTACATGGTTTTGCCATCATCTAGAAAGCATGCTTTTAGGTAGTGGAACTATGCTGAGTCAACTATTGGAGTTTGACTTCCTAATCATCGCCGCGACTCAGTCAAGAGATCAGCATAGGTGGAGTTAGTCAATCGGTCGGAAGGGATAGAGCCGCGGCTCTACGCAGTATATATTGATTCGTTCGCCTACACCGTAGTTGAGCAGATCGGGCAGGCGTCTACATGCGGTTCCAGTCCTCCTTTGATTGCGTGGCCTCGACGCTTACTCAAACGAAACTGAACCAGATTACAGCGACGACGATGACGAAGATGACGGCAACCTGGGCTCCGTTAGCTCAGTTCCTTGCTTCTTTTGTCGAAGACCAGCTCACAAGCCTGAGCTGCTAAACTGACACAGCGCTGGTGCACTATTGTATACATTCGTATAGGTACAAATGCGGTCGATGCAAGAAGATTAGCTGGATTACTGGGACGCAGCAGTAGGGTCTCGAGATTGCTGCCGAGGCAGCTGCAGACGGTGGTAGCATGCTTTCACTTAACGGCAGTTGTGCATAGTTTGCTTCCCAGATCGCTTCCTAACTTGGAAGTTTCTATTGGCGGAAGGGACGCTGAATCTCACATGGGCTGCATACACCTGAAAGTAGCCAAAAAGCAGATGTGACTGGCCTCCGTGTCATCTCCTTTCTCCGCCCTATTCAAAGTTAAAAGAAGAGAAAAAGAAAGGGTTTTGGCAAAAAGAACACAACTATACAGACAGAAAAAGAAAGTCTCCGATGCGGGGAATCGAACCCCGATCCCTGCGGTACTTCTAGTCATAGACTGTGAAAGCGCAGTATGATAGCCACTACACCACATCGGATGCTGGATGAATTTGGACAAGGATAATCAAAATATAAACTATTCGATGGCTGCACGCGGGATCGCATCACATCAAGAAGCTGAGAAACGCACCCATGGTCTGCAACAAACACTGCTGTACGGAGTATACTCTTCATATTTCAAGGATCGGTAAGTATAATCTTCAGGCCAGATGAGATTTAAAAGCTTTGAAAAGAAAAAAAAAACACTTGTCAAATCTGGGTGAAAAGTCTACAGGTTCTCCGAGCATCCAGAGTCTGGAAGCCGAGAGGCGCATGAGCATTTGGCTTAGCTGAGACAGACGTATCATTGAGCGATTCAAGGTCTCGGCCGTGCAGATGCGTTCTGGGGGTTACAAATCTCCGCAAGTGCTTTACCTTCGAAGACATTGCAACGCGCGTTCATGCCAGTAGCGGTTTCACCTGCAATTTGTCTCGCTGTGAATCCATCAGAGCAGTGGCTTTTATCGCACATATTATATGTCGTCATTGATGAGTCTATGTCTAGCGCTTCGATTTAAATTTAGCGACGTTTCGCAATCTTCTGTGTACTGTGACATCTCTATCGAGATGCCTCTTCCCTCTTTCCTCATATAAGAAGAAGGCGTGTTCATGTTGCGCCATGCTGCGCCATGCCTTAATGGCTGTGGCTTGGGAATTGTCGACAGCCTCAGCGTTTTCCACCACAGGCGCAGCTTTGGCTTGATGTTGGGTTAGTTAGTTGACTTAATACCTACAAGTAGTTAGTTACTCCGTCCACCACTTTGACCTGTTTTTGCAGTTCCAGGAGCGGGCCCACCAACCACCCGTGGTCTATCATGATACCAGGTACGGAGTACGGAGTACTAGTACTCTCTCATGTCTCTCAGGTACACACGCATCCGCCGGTGAGGTGGTCGTTAACGTAGAAATTATAGGCATCGGTTCCTCATTAACTGACCTCACCCATTCCTCCTCGCCTGCACTCCGTGCTGATCGACTTGCCTGTCCATTACGCGCGCTTTCTGTCCCTCTGTCCCTCTGTCCCTCTGTCCCTCTGTCCCTCTGTCTCTCGGGACCAGCCACCGTCAGCATCGTCTCGTTGTACTAATGCAGTTGCCCCTCACTTCCTTCCAGTAAAGACCGAGACGCTGGCATGCTGCTGTACGAACTGTTAAACAGGCAATGTATACCGCGCTCCACAGCAGTTGGTTTGCAATTGACAACCCGAGCCAACTCAGGCTGGGGGTCCTTGACTGGAGTTGTACTCCGTCGACGGAAACACAACGTGACTTGGAGGTTGCTTGCTGCTTGAGAACTGTATGATGTGGTGCGAAGCGATGTGATGCATGCACATACATCCTTCAGTATATACATGCATGCACGCATACTACGCGGACTTCGGAGTATTACTGAAAGGTCGTTACACGCCGCATGGATGGTCTTTGTCTGATCTGACTATCCGGAGTAACTAAGTAGTAGCTAGATCTTGACTAACGTAAAGTACTTACATGAGGTCTGTCTCACTCTTACCCCATCTATCCTATCAACCTGATCGCCAGAATCCTCCTCCCCTCCTCCGCCGTCATACGTTCGTCTCCTCCTCTGCGCGCCGTTCGTCTCCCCTCGATGGCTTTGAGAGACATCGGCCGCCATACATGCCCTCATCTAGCTTCAATCATCGTCCCCGCGGCTCGCCAGACTCGCCTGACGTCCATGTCCGCACTCTTCAAGCTCGTCCCATCTGATCTCACCGGTCTTGCTGGACAGTTAATCCCGTTCTAAATTTGTACTAGCTCTTCTAGCGAGGCAGGGCTTGTAAGTTTTCTCACCTCACTAGACCCGCATCACAGCGCACTATCATCGTCATCGTCATCGCCGTCGCCCATCGCCATCGTCCCCGGTTTTCCCTCGTTGGCTCTTACCAACGGCGCGGAGAACCTTGATTCTTGCCGGGTAGCCCAGGCCCGTCTATCTTGAGCTACTCAGCTCACCTTGCCAGTCGACGTTAATAAATCCTTGCTATCCCACATCAGGTCCCAAACGGTCCCAGCCAACGCAACGCAACGCAACGGAACCCGGCTGGCAGGCAGGCAGGATTGCAAACGAGAAAGTGTCACGATCCAATTGGCGCTTCCAACGCCAGCCGACTTACTTAATAAGTAACTACGGAGTAGACATTTGGGAAAAGCCAAGGAATCCTCTTTTGTGGCCCGCTTCTGCCCCTCTCGGATTGACTTGACTCGTTCCGCCGTCATTTTCCCTCCGCCAAGTCTGCGGATGCTACGTATTACTACAACAAACGGTTTCTGTTCTTTGTGTCCCTCCTCAAGTGAATTCAAGAACCCGCGTGCGACCTACACTCGTGGAACAGAGAACAGGGAGCAGAGGCAGGGAGCAGGCATATCTCACAGCAGTCTGCGATTCAGTAAAAAGTTCCCTCTCATTTCGCGCATGTATTAGTCGTCTCCGTTCGGGGCTGCGATGAGCCGAACCTGAAACCCCAACTGCGCGCATTCCCGGCTTGCTTCAGCCAGAAAACAGTGTAACGTTTGTCCAGACTCATTTCCGAAACTACGGGCAACAATAAATCTGGGACGGCTGCCCTTTTTCCAGGTATTTCAATTTTTAATTTTTTTTATTTTATCATGGTCCATTTGTCCTCGGGCTCTGTTGATATCGTCTCAGTCGCTCACTCAACTTCAAACGCAGATAACTATTTACATGCGCCATCTATTGGTCTTGTAAACGAACTCCTTCTCCTTTATCCGAAATGGCGGCAACAGTGGCTCAATCGCAAGCGCCATCGACTTTATCTTCAAACAGTCTTACTTCGCCCTCTGGACCAGGTTCTCATCACCGCAGCCACTACCAGATGCAAGATGCGAGAGCTCAAGATCAACAAGTCGAGTCACAACCGCGCACACACAAGTTCAACCCTTGCAATTTCAAGGTTGTCCGCACTCTTGGAACAGGTTGGTAATCTAAATATGCAATCTCAGCAAAGGGCTGTTTTGAGCTCTATTACAATAATCGCTCAAGCACCCATTCATTACCATACCTCATTTCGTTACGGCCACATCCGTTGGTTCTAATTGATTCTCGTTTTTGTAGGTACATTCGCGCGAGTTTGTCTGGTTCGACCGTCTAATGCTCCTGACATACCCCTGGAGCAAGACACCACGGGCAACGCCGAGGTGTACGCCCTCAAAATCCTACGCAAAACAGAAGTTATCAAGCTAAAGCAAGTCGACCATGTTCGCCACGAGAGGGCCGTCCTGGCCGATGTAGCTGGCCACCCCTTCATCACCAATCTCCTTGGCTCTTTTTCTGACCACGACTCGCTATACATGCTGCTCGATTACGTCCCCGGCGGAGAACTTTTCAGTTATTTGCGAAAGTTTCGGCGATTTGACGAGTCCACAGCCTGCTTCTATGCCGCGGAGATTGTCCTCGTCTTGGAATATCTACACGAGAAGCAAGGTGGCGTGGCGTACCGGGACCTCAAGCCGGAAAATCTCCTGTTGGATAAGGACGGCCACATCAAGCTGGTAGATTTCGGGTTCGCCAAGCGCCTAGGCTACAAGGATGACCATCCCGTTGAGACGTACACCCTCTGCGGCACACCAGAGTATCTCGCTCCCGAGGTGATCCATAACAAAGGTCACACCACAGCAGTAGACTGGTGGGCATTGGGCATCCTGATATATGAATTTCTTACCGGATATCCGCCGTTTTGGCACCAGAATCCCATCGAGATTTATAAGCAGTAAGTACATCATACATACACATCGCCACCGTTTACGGTTGTATCATCCAAGTCCCGATGCAGAAACTAACATGACCAACGCAACCAGAATTGTTGAGAAGCCGGTAACATTCCCTCAAGACCCTCCCCTATCCGAAGAAGCGCAAGACATCATCCGCTCCTTCTGCACCATCGACCGCTCAAGACGCCTCGGCAACATCAGCGGAGGCGCAGGCCGCGTCAAAGCCCACCCTTTCTTTCAACATATCAACTGGGACGACATGATCAACCGCCGACATTCAGGACCCATCGTCCCGCCTATACGATATCCGGGAGATGCGCAATGCTTCGACACGTATCCCGAAGATGATGGCAAGCGCGATCAGTACACGAATGACATGGTACAAAAGTTTGAGCAGTACTTTCAAGATTTCTGAAGCACGCGGACTGGCGCATTAGGTTTTCTCAACATTTTCAAGTTAAATGACAGGAAGAGCTTGGAAGATATGCAGCATGACTTTTTTTTTTTTAAGTTTTTACATTCATGGGCAGATGGAAGAAGCCAAATACAGCACAAGCAACTCGTCTTCCATTTTTTTTTAAAAACGTTTTGGTAAGAGAGGGATAATACGTCTGACCTGGAGAAGGAGAGACAACAAAAGAAAGGGGGAGGGAGAGGGGGTATGGCACAAGCGTCAAGAACTGGTGTCACTTGGGAGTTGGGTATTTGGATTTGGTCTGGACTCACTAGGAAATTTTGTCACACAGGAAAGTGGCAGGGCAACACGGCGTTTACACGGACGGGTTCACGGTTTGAAATTACTCTCAGGTGGAGCACAAGTTATGGATTCTTGGGTAGTACCCGAGAGTAGGAGTACACAACAACATGTGGGTTTTGGTTTGTTCTGGCCAGACCGGAAATTGGATGGAGAACGAACGGTACACAGAAAGTATAGTACTTACTTAGGTTATAATACCATCATCATCACAGCGGGAATTTGGGTTTTTAAAAACCAAAAAGGTATTTCTTTCTCGCAAAGTAAAGAACATTCACTATATATTCACATTGCTCCTTTCCCCTCCATGTACGTATATATATAATGCCAACTAATGTATAAAACGAGACGGGATCATCATAAACCAGACACCAAGTCAACCTGCCACAACCCAATGCAAATAAGCAAGCAAGCGAACAAGGAATAATCAGACATTACAATCGTTACAACTACAACTCCTATCCCCGTCCCGTCCCATCTCATCTCATCCCATCCCCAT